GCCAAGCCTTCCCGACGTTCTGGGCCGCTGGATGGACTTCGATCGCATGCTGAGCGGCCACGTCGCCCTTAACCTCACTGACGTGCAGGTCGGGGACCGCTCTTTGCTGCGCCAGCATCAAACTCAGCCAGACCCATCTGTGGCCCATGGTTGGCCTGACTGGGTCTGGTGCTGGTGCGACTGCTCGAGCGATTCCCCCCCTGGCAGGCCTTCGGCGACGCTGGCGAGCTCAGCGCGGGCGTCTTCACCTCCAGTTGCCTCGGCCGGGGCTCGTACATCCCCCTGGACACCACGGTGGAGGGGGCCTTGGAGACGGCCTTCCTCCACATCACGTCCACGATATTCGAGGCAGTGGATCGCGATCCAGCATGCCTTCGGCGGGCTACCGCCCAGCCCCCTCCTCCCCCCCCCGTGCTGTGTGGGCGAGGTGCCGTGGGGGGGGGGGGGGGGCCTGCTGGAGGCCTGCCCCATACACAGGGCAGCCGGGCACTGGCTGGCAGCTTTGCGGTGGATCGGGGGTTCCGTGTACAGAGGATGAGGCCTACCTTCTCGCCTCCAAGGGCGAGGTCACCTTGGATCGGCGGCGATGTCCGAACCCGACCTTCGCCGATGAACGATTCAGGCAACCCGATGGGCGGCGGGGGTAGGGTTCTGAATTCGTCGCGCACGCGGCGCAGTCCGAAACCTACCCCTGCCTCCCATCGGATCAGGGGACATCGATGGTTGGTGGGGGTAGGGTTCGGATGGCGCCACCCATTGGAATTCCTTACTGGATTGCTTCGTCGCCGCAGGGGTCTGGGCTCGGACCCCTCAGCATTTTCGCTTCACCTCCTCTCCGTCCTCCTCCCTCGCCTTGTGGCGCCGCGCGCCACGGCGGCGAGGATTCGGACCGCTTGGGCTCTTCACCCACATGTTGACCGAGTGCAACAATGATGATGATGCCGATGATGATGATGACGATGCTGATGATGCTGATGATGATGATGATGGTGGGGTTGATGCTGATGCTGATGCCGATGCTCATGCTGATGTTGATGCTGATGTTGGTGGCGTTGTTGCTGCTGATGATGGTGGTGATGATGATGATGGTGCAACTGATGATGCTGATGATGATGATGCTGATGCTGCTGATGATGCTGGTAACTGATAGTATGATTGCACTCATGATGGCAATGATGCTGCTGTTGTTGATGATGATGATGATGGTGTTGACGATGATGATGATGTGGTGCTGCTGCTGCTGCTGCTGATCATGATAATGATGATGATGATGTTGCTGGTGAGGATGCCTCTGATAATGGTGCTGACGTTAATGCTGGTGCATATGATGTTGACGATAATGCAGCGTATGGCGATGACGATGACGATGACTAAGACGATTATGCTGACGATAGTGATAATGATGCCGATGATGCTGCTGAGGATGATGACAGATACGAGACCAGTGGTGATGATGACAGTGGCTGTGGTGGTGATGCTGCTGCTGCTGCTGCTGCTGCTAGTGATGCTACCGACAATGACGACGACGCTGACGATGACGATGATGATCGCGAAGACGACGACAACGACGACGACGACGCTGATGATGCAGACGATGATGCTGCTGATGATGATGATGATGAGGGTGTTCATGGTGACGGTGATGGTGATGGCGATGGTGTTGGCGATGATAATCGTGATGGTCATGATGCTGCTGCCGGTGAGGATTTAGCATGAAGGTTCTTATGATTCTGCTGCTACTGTTTCCAAGATTCTCCCGGAAAAGGAGGAGGCGGAGGAGGAGGAGGAGGAGGGTCGAGGAGGGAGGAGGAGGAGGAGTGAGGAGGAGGGTCGAAGACCGAGGAGATTAAGGAGGATTTTGATCGATGCGTCTTCCCTCCCTCTCGAGCACGCACCTCACAAGCCTCATGGTGGTGCGCAGAGGGCCCGGCGGACACCACATGGCGCTCTCCTCCGGCCGCCGCCAGGGGGAGCCCTTGTGAAGCCGTCTCCTTCGGACGGCGGGGCCTCGTCCTCCTCCTCCTCCTCCTCCCCCTTTGCCTCCTCCTACTCCTTCTCCTCGTAGACCTCCTCTTCCTCCTCGTCCCTCTCCTGCTCTTCTTCCTCCTTCTCCTCCTGTTGCTCGTCGCCCTCGTCCTCCTCCTTGTCCTCCCGCTTCTTCTCTTCCTCGTTCCTCCTCCTCCTGCTCCTCCTCCTGCTCCTCCTCCTCCTCCTTCTCCTCCTCCTCCTCCTCCTCCTCCTCCTCCTCCTCCTCCTCCTCCTCCTCCTCCCCCCCCTCCTCCCGCCCGTCCTCCTACCCCTCCTTCTCCGGTCGTCCTCCTTGCCATCCTCGACCTCCGTGTCGTGGAGAAGATGGAGGAGGAGGCGGAGGAGGAGGAGGAGGAGGAGGAGGAGGAGGAGGTGATATGATGATGAGAAGGCAGGGGTAGCTGTGGGAAGGAGGAAGAGTCAAGGTGGAGGGAGGGGGGCGGGGCCAAGCGGGGTTGGTTAGAGGCTTCCCTCGCACCCTCCCCTTGTCTCTATTTTCTTTGGGTCTTGGCTGCGCTCGTCCTCCGCGGTGGACCCAGTGCTTCCGAGTTCCGAACCTCAGTGTCGGGAGGAGGTGAAAGTGTGTTTGAGGTTCCGCGCAAGGTTTGGCATCTGGAAGATTGTGCAGGGGGTTCATGCGGGGAGGAGGAGGGAGACGGCCGAGGAGGAGGAAGAGGTCAAGGGCGAGGAGGGGGACGAGGAGGCAGATGAAGCGGGGGACGTGGAGGAGGAGGAGGAGGAGGAGGAGCAGGAGCAGGAGGACGCGGCGTTGGGGAGTACAGGATTCGACAGGCCAGCCTCCAGATATTCCTAGCACGAATATAGGCGGCGAAAGAGACGGCCCGTACCACCAGGCCCGTCCTGGGCGACCAGGTTAGATCTTCAGAATTGTAGCTGATGGCGCGCAGTCCAGCTATCTCTTCCCCACGCCGTTTCACTCATGTGGCGACGAGGGCCCAGCCGTGGTTACGAGGAGCGACGGTGGGGGGATGGGCACCACCAGGTGGTGGGCCATCTGTCGTACCACGTCCTTCAGCAGCATATCACTCTGCTGCGCACACCGGCACACGCCGCCGCTTGTTGCCTCCCGCGGGGGAACTTGCTAGCGTTCACGCTTCGCGAACCCCCACCAGCCCATTCAGGAGCCCTGCCCATGCGAGTTGACGGGAAAAAGGATAGAAGAGACACATATAGTGAAACAGAGCGTGCGAGCGGAGGAGAGGAAGGAGGGTGCTGAGCCATCTTGGAGGCTATCTTGGAGCATCGGAGGCCTTCTTGGAGCTACGGGGCTGTGTCGGGGCACTGGCCTGCTGCCACTGCCTGCCTTGTGGCACCGGCAACCGCTGCTGCCACTGCATGGACATTTATTCAGCTCCGACGACCGCTGCTGCCACTGCCTGCTTTCTGTCACCGACAAGCCATGCTGCCAATGGTTGCCTTCTTGCACGAGCTGGCCCCCACCGCAGCGTAGCTCAAGATGTTGCTCCTGCGTGGCCACTTGGCGCCGATTGCCGCTGCTGCAACTGCCCGCGTTCTCGCACAGGGTGGCCACTGCTGCAATGTTGCTGGAGTTGTGGCTCATGCGTGGCCATCGGGCAGCGACTATCGCTGCTGCCATTGGTTGTTTTGTCGCTTGCTTTCTCGCAGGGATCGGTCTCAGCCTTGTCGCCGATGACACACCTGATTTTGGCGGGCTCCTGCATGCCTGCTACCACGCACGACCGTTCACAGCACTGTAGCTTGTTACACTGATGACCTTTGTGTAGCTGTTGATGTGCTGCTCCAGCTTCTTCATACATGCCTTCCCTCTGGCAGCGGCGCCGCAGCCGGCGCCACTGCTCGCTCTGCGGCGGCGGATGGGCGGGAGGGGATAAGCGATGCGAGGACGGGGGGGGCCATGCCTCCTGGCGGGTGCGCGCGCGCTTGATTTCAGCATTGTGTATGATGACGTGAAGCGCCAGTTTTTTTTTGAGCCAGCTGTCGCGAGCAGGGCCATACCGAGGTTCGCCCGCGAAGCGCCCTTGCGCGCCCCGTGTGGGGGGGGGGGGGCGCTCGGGCGCGAAATGGTTGGGAGGAACAGGGTAATACGCAGGAGGGGGCTGAGGATGATGATGACGATGCTGCTGCTGATGATGATGATGATGCTGATGATGATGATGCTGATGATGATAATGATGATGATGAGGATGCTGATGATGGTGGTGATAATGATGTTGATGATGATGACGATGATGATGTCGATGATTGTGGTGATTGTGATGCTGATGCCGCTGGTGATGCTGATGACCAGCATAATTATGAGGATGATGCTGAGGATGATTGATGTGATGGTGATGATTTTGTTGATGCTGGTAGTGATGATGATGATGTCGATGGTGGTGATGGTGATAGTGATGGTGATGGTGATGGTGGTTTTGGTGGTGATGGTGGTGGTGATGATGATGATGATGATGATGATGCTGATGGCGCTGATGCTGATGCTGATGCTGATGATCATGCTGATGATGCTGCTAATGCTGCTGATGATGATAATGATGATGTGAATGGTGATCATGGTGGTAATGGTGATGCTGATGGTGATGATGGTGCTCATGATACTGATGATGAGGAGGAGGATGATAATGATGAGGATGATGATGAGGAGGAGGAGGAGGAGGAGGCGAGGGAGGAACATGAGGATAAGGAGGAGGATGAGGAGAGGGAGGAGGAGGAGGAGGAGGAAGAGGATGAAGTTCAGGATCATGATGATGCTGATGAGGAGGAGGAGGAGGACGAGGACGAGGACTTGTAGGAGGAGGATGACGAGGAGGAGGACAAGGGCACTGACGAGAAAGACGAGGACGATGCCCTTTGCCATTTGTTCTTTGCCCACCAGGGGCGCGGATATACGTCACAAAAACTTGTAGAGTCGACCCTCAGGTTGGAGGAGGAAGAGGAAGAAGAGGAAGGTTGGGGGACGGAGCGGGGGGAGGGGGAAGGCGAGGATGAAGGATGAGGTTTGTGCCCCGACTGGGAGGGAGCTGAACCGGGTGTTGGCTTCGGAGCGGTTCTCATTCCCATTATCGTCCTCCTCTTTATTCTTATTTTTGTGGTCCTCGCCCTCCTTCTGCTTATCCGTCTCACCCTCCTCCTCCTCCTCCTCCTCCTTCTCCTCCCCCTCCTCCTCTTATCCGTAAGGGCTTCGCCCCCATGCCGCTGGCCCCCCTCTCTTAGAATGAGACTTGCAAGAGCTGTGTTGGGATGTCTGGACGCTGACGTGAAGCAATGTCCGGACTTCACGCAAGGGCGAATTATTACTTTACTAGGGCTTATGGCTTCGGTGGCGCGAATACCATGTAATTTACGATGGTTCATGGCGTCGGGGACGCGAATACCGTGCAATGTACGAGGGTTTGTGGCCTCAGGGGCGCAACGATTGTGTAATTTACGATGATTTGCGGCCCGTGGGCGCGAATGTTGTGTAATTGTTTAAGGTTTATGGTTTCGGGGGCGCGAATATTCCTTAACTCATGTGGGTTCATGATGGTCTCGGGGGCGCGGATATTGTATCATTTGCGAGGGTATACGGCTTCGGGGACGCGAATATTGAATTTTTTGTTAGGGACTATGGCTTCGAAGACGCGAATCTGGTATACTTTAGGAGGGTGTATGACCTCGGGGACGCGAATCTGGTGTAGTTTGCAAGGGATTGTGTCTTCGGGGACGCGACTACTGCGTAACTTACAAAGATTGATCGCCTCGGGGATGCAGTTATTGTTTTTTTAGGTTTAATGGGTTCGGGGACGCGAGTGCGGTGTAATTTACAAGGGTTTATGGCTTTGGGGACACGAATATCGAGTCATGTTCGAAGATTATGGTTTCGGGGGCGCGAGTACTTAATAATTTACGCAAGTTTTGTGCAGCTTAGAATAGTTTATGGCTTCGGGGACGCGACTGTTGCATAATTTACTAGGGATTATGGTTTCGGGGGCGCGAATATTCAGGAATTTAGAAAAAAAAAAAAGGTTTTGGTTTCGGGAGCGCGAATATGGTGTAATTTACACAGGTGTATGGCTTCGGGGACGCGAACATGGCATAATTTACAAGGGGTTATGGCTTCGGGGACGCGAGCACAGCTTAATTTACAAAGGTTTTTGGCCTCGGGGACGCGACTATGGCGTAACCTACTAAGGGTTATGGCTTCGGGACGCGAATGACATGTATTGTAACATGTCCCACGACCCCCCCGGGAACTCAGACAACGCGACTCGGGGACGCTAACCAGGACGCTTTTCGGCTCCCCCCCTCGCGTGTTCAGCAACAATTAACAGTAAGGATGCAGAAGCCATGACTGTAACAGTGGAAACTGGAAACGGCAACTCGAACAGGGAGCTGCAATCCTCACCCTTGCAGCCTGGTGGCCCCGCAAGGGGGCCGGCGGACTTCTTATCTTCATCCTGGTCTGGATCTCTCCTCCTTTGATCGTGGAGCTTGTGTCGATCACCGACAGCGCGTGTTCACATCCCGTGCGCGCAAAGGCTTGGAGCGGACGATGAGACTACGGATTTCATGGTCCCAGCGCCAGCGGAGTGGGGGGCGGGATAAGTTGGTGATGATGATGCTCATGAGGAGGAGGAGGAGGAGGAGGAGGAGGAGGAGGAGGAGGAGGAGGAGGAGCAGGAGGCGTAAGATCACGGAAGACGATTTGGATAAGCCGTCCTAGCTCCTTCGTTTGCGGACGAGGAACTTGCAACAACGAACTTCCGAGCGGCACTGCTGTTGCGGGCCATCGGCTCGATCAGTCTCGCTTGTTTTCGTTAAGTGAGCTCCTGCCGCCAAGAGCTTCCGGCCATGCGAAGACGACTGCTCCTCGCGGGAAGTGTGGGCGTTGCAGCTGCGGGTGCGCACGCAGTGAGCCGTGGTGGGCGAGGTGTAAGTATCGTGGAGAAAAGAGGCCCGCCATTGCGTACACAGTCGAGTGCTTTTTGGCTTGCTCGTGGTTCTCCAGTCTTTGGGGGTTGGAGCTCGGGTCGAGTCAAGTGGTCAGGAAAGTGGAGTGTGGATGGTACGACCTGGCCGATGGTTGTCCAGAATCGAGCCCCCCGAAGCCGTCATGCCCCAAGGATCGCATGTCAAGCAGGTTGGGTTGCAGTTCGCCGGTTCTGGATGGATACCTGTCACAGATGGCAAGAAGGGCACGTATTTCCCAGATGAGCTGCCCAAAGAGAAGAAGATGGTGGAGTCCTTCCGCGAACTCGGGGACCTTGAGCGGGTCAAGATCCAGGAAGGCCACGCCGGGAAGTTGGAGGTCGTCGCCAATCCCCACGCCCCTTTCCGTCGGTGCCGCCCAGCATGCGCCCCAGCAGGCGAAGGCGGCGCTTGAACGGACTGTGCGACAGGCTAACCGCGTCCAGGGAGAGTTGCAGGTCGCCAAGTAGAAGGCGGTCGAGACGTGGAGGTTGCACCAGGAGTGCGAACATAAGTTCAAGAGTGCTGTCCAAGAGCTGTCGCGACGAGCTGAGCGACACGAACCGGAGCAGCCAGCAGAGCCATCCCTCGACTCGGAGGTGTTGCTGTCGGGGGGGAAGCTCGGGTTGGACGACAAGAGCTTCTTCGGCTGCGATGGAGCAAAGCTTGCGATCTCAGAGGGTGGCAAGCAGGAGCTGCTGCGCAGAGTGGAGGAGGTGCAGGTGACCGTCCGGAAGGCGGCGGTCGACGCGCTCGGGGAGGGCGAAGGGCCCAGCAGCGGAGCTCGTCGACCAGCAGCGTCAGTTACAGAAAGGGATGGCAGTCAAGCGTCAGGAGGCCGAACGGCGGCACGTCAGTGCGTCACCTACGTCATACCTCGTGTTTGACCAGTCTTGCTCGATGGCAGACGCGGCACTGAGCCAGCTGCTCCTTTCCTTCTTTGTATCTCGGCACTACTCTTGTGCCAAAGCGTGCGCACTCACCGACGGTCATCGGCAGCCGCGCAGCTGGCAACAAGTTGCTCCCATCCACTTCTCCGCCGCGGCAATGTATTTCGCAGACAGTCGCTCGCCCATTTCTACTTCGACGACAGTGCCAACGCAGACTCCCAGATACGCAGCACAGCACACGGCGAGAGCAACAACAACAGCTATGCTATGTTGTGGGTCCCGAAGGGGTTTGCTCCCCCACGGATGCCACATCATCCGACGCACTTGGGTGGGTCCCTGCGAGGAGTTCTCATCCACGGGATGCGACAGGGGGTCCTTGCAGGGCTTTCTCACCCTCAAGCGCACCATCCTTATGAGGGCCACCACCAACCTCCAACCTGCAGTCCCTCGCGGCTCATCTTCTTGCAGCCCCCCTCCCCCTGCTTCCTAACCTCCCACCTCCCTCCTCTTGTGGCGGCGGAATGGGACGGATATCTGGCGGGGATTGGGCAAGGAGTCGCCGCTGGTCGTCCTGGCAAAAGCCAGGGTGGCTGCGGCCGCAAAGCACCTCGCAGGATACAGTTCTGAACAGGCTACCAGCACAGATCCGATGCCTTTCAAGACGCTGTTTGCGCCTCTTCCTCAATCTCACCTTCTACAGGCCACGCTCAACCGCATCTGCGGTTCACGATCGCCTGCCACTCTAGCTGCGCGGCCGTGCCACCGCCGCGGAAGGCATACACTTCCCCTTGCGCACGGAGGAACTTCCTAAAGCGGCCCCCGCCCCCATGGTCTGGGTACCCTACTCCTGCTTGGCGGGGGAAGGTATGAGTCGTGGGGATGGGGGACCTCCTCCTCCTCCTCCTCCTCCTCCTCCTCCTCCTCCTCCTCCTCCTCCTCCCGCCCCCCCCTCCTCGCTTTGAGGGGTTGCCGATGTGCACGAGGAGGCGCCCTTGTACCTCCCACCTTGGCGTGGGCGGCCAGCCAAACTCTGTCGCGGCGAGCGCGGCAGACCCCGCCGCCCCCGGAGGGCCCAGACATCCTTCAATGCCCGGTGGAACCTCCCCAGGCGGTCCCGCTCGGCGTCGCCCCAACATGCTTCTACTTAATGTGCGTCGCTCCCCCCCAGGGGCGACGCGCGCACCGAGAAATCTAATAGTATACGTGGCGGGCGCTTCCTGGCCACGCCGCAGGGGAAACGCTTGACTACAAGATGGGTCTACCATATGATGTTCGGGTCGGACGCGCGCCTCCGAGGTGGACATGCAGTACTGGTATGTCTCTGCGCGTCCCGCCGGAGGTCAATGCACTGGGAACCCTCCGCCTGCTTGCAGGGGGCGCCCGTGGAGGGTTCCCGTGGGCAGAGGGAGAGGCCCTTCGGCCTCCCCTCTGCGGCGGGAGTGGCTGCGGGTCCGCCGCCGCCGCGCCGCCAGCGACGCGCCCGCCCCGCCGCTCCCCGCCTGGCCTTTCACCCTTTTTGTCCACGGCTGCCGCCCACTGCACCCAGCCAGCAGTGCGCTTGCCCCGCCACCCCTCCACGTGCAACCCTGGCGCTAGCGTCGCTCCTGCGCTTTCTGGCCTGCGCCCTGTCTCGTTTCCACCGTCGTTCTGCTGTCCGCGCCTCGAGTGAGGACGACCGCGGAGCTGCCGCCCAAACCTGGACACGGTGACTCGCCCGCCCGGTTGCCTCTACGCTGCCCCCACCCAGCCTCCGCCACCTGTGCTTTCTGCGCGACATGCACCCCGCAGCCTAGCACATCTTATAGCAGGCGGGGGGTGGTGATCATGGGGGTGGAGGGTCCCCTGAGGCAAACTGTAGGCCCTCCTGGCTAGGGCCTTGGATGCCGCATCGCCAGGACGACCCTCTCGGCGCCACTTTGATCCACAACCCGCATCAGCGCCTACACCTTGTCGCCGCTGCCATCACTCCTCTCTGAGCTTATCCCCACCTTCCTCCCCCGCTTCGAGTTCGTGATGCTGCCCTCCGTCTCTCTCTCTCTCTCCTCCTCCTGCCGTCGCTGTCTGCCACCCTACCTTCACACCAGCCGGCGTCCTTTGGAGCGGTGCTCCAGGGGTCGCTTGGGTCGCCTGGCTTTAGTGTGATCAGCCCCCCAAGGCCGACCAGCCCTGGGTGCGGATGGGAGCTTAGTGGGCCCCGGAAACGGCAGGGCCGTTTTTTTCACTGTTTCCAAAAAAGTGTTCCTTGAAAATGGAAACGGCAAAAACAGGCGACCGGAAACGGCAACAATAACGGCTCCAGGATTGGAACCGGAGCGGGATCCCGCAAAAGAACGGCGACGGAACCGGTAAAGAAACGGCGTCGGAACCGGCGAAAAAACGGCAAAACAGAACCGGTAAAAAAAGGCCCTGTCGTTTCCAGGGCCCACTAAGGGGGGGAGGCTTCGTCAAGATGGTCATGCAGCCACAAGGTGTCGGGCGGTCAGGAGGCGGGGCGGGATGTGCAGGATGCCCGACGTGCCGAGGGAGCGCCGGCCGCCTCCGGAGCCCTCGCCCGAGGTACATTCTGAAGGTGACCTTCTCCGAGCGCAGCATCGCCTCGATGTTCGTGAACAGAGAACTGAGCTGGAGCGGCAGCCTCCTCTTCGTCCTCCTCCTCCTCCTCCTCCTCCTCCCCCTCCTCCTCCTCCTCCTCCTCCTCCTCCTCCTCCTCCTTCTCTTCCTCCTCCTCCTCCTCCTCCTCATCCTCCTCCTCATCCCCCTCCTCCTCCTCCTCCCCCTCCTCCTCCTCCTCCCCGTAGCCATTTTGGCTCAAGACGGAGCTTACCTCCCGTCCCGACTCCAGAGGCTCGAGGCCGAGGTGGAAGGGCAGCCCCTTCCCCAGTCCTGGCTGCCTCGGCCAGCACGGGCGCCCCGCAGAAGCGCCCCCCCTGTTTCCTCGGCCGCTGCCGCCATCGCCGAGGCGTCCAGATCTTGCTGCTGGCCGCCGTTTTGCCGTGTGCGGCGCAGCCATGGCGCCAGGCGGCTCTGCGCGTCGCCACTCGCGCCCGAGAGGATCGGCCAAGACTCCGAGGTGCTACGCGGTCTGTTCAACGCCATCATGCGGGGGATGGTCATGGACAGACTTGGGACACCTTCGTTGTGGCAAATGCGGGAATACCTTCACAGAGTCGGCCAACAGTACCAACAAGCAGATCGCCCAGCCCCCCAAGCCGCCCCGCTCCTGCTCGCGTGGCAACAGGTGGGTTCGCCGTGTCCAGTTTGAAGACGCTGCAGCAGTTCAACAGCCAGAATGTGACACCACCGACCCCATCCAGGTTTGTGTGGCCGCCGTTAACTTCTGGCGCAAAATCGAAGGAGTGGGAGGACATCATTACCTCCATGCAGCTGAAGAGCTCAAGTCAGCCAAGGCCTCCGCCTTGGCAAACAAGTCGCCAGACCAGCAGACGCAGAGTTTGTCGGACCAGCTCGCAGTACAGCGCAAGCGACTGGAGGGAAAGCAGAAGGACGTGGCCTGGCACCTCGAGGAGATTGAGAGGCTCACAGAGAAGTACCAGACGGTTGCCAATGAGTGCAATAACATCTACAAGGAACGCCAGCACCTCGAGAGCCAGCTCAGGGTCGCAGCGAAGGCGGCGGCCCAACAGGCTGGAGGTGCAGATGGCGAAGCAATTAGGGCTTCACCTGACACGCTCGAGGATTATATCATGGCGAAGCTCCCTCCTGGAGCGGAGATCAGCCCCGACTTCAAGCAGAAGGTCAACGCCATGGCAACGGAGCGGAGCTCGACTCCGAGTACATACGGATGGTCCATGCGTCGGCAAAGCCAGCAGCTGATGAGCAACCGCGGGAAGGACAAGCACCGCCAGAACCAGCAGCTGAACCAGCGGCTGAACACCAACCTGCCCCTGAAGGTGCAGCCGCAGTCGCAGTTCCCAGGGGGGAAGGCCTCCCCGCAGCGCCCGCAGCCGACGACATGGAGCTCTCCAACGCGAAGGAGAAGGAGGAGGGGGCCTCCAAACGGGCTGTCCAGGCCCTCTCGCTGGTTTCGCAGCTCGGGACTCCAGGGGCCCTGGGGCCATCTTCTGAGGGCGCCCAGAGGAGGCTCCGCTCCAAGATCGGGGGCTCGGTGACTGCCCGCATGTCTGGGGGGTAACCTCCGTATCATGAGTTTCAATGGAAGCTGTTGGGGAAGCGTCGAGACTTTCGTCGAGTCCGATGACGCCAAGTCCATCCACGTTTTGTGTGTTCAAGAGGCCAGGCTTCTCTAAAATCAAGTTTTGGACGCCACTCAGTGGTGTAGCAAGCGTGGATGGAATGCTAGTTTCACGGCTGGGGTTTCTGAGCGACTGTGGGGCAGTTACACAGGGCGCAGCCATCCTCGTGAAAGACGGGCACGGCTTCGGGGTCACAAGAGTCGACTACCCAGCTAATACGCCAAAGGGAAGAGTTACCGCCGTAGCTCTGGAGGTGCCAGGACACGCTCCATTCATTCTAGCCTCAGCCTACCTCGCCGACAAGGTTGGGCTGAACGAGTTTAACCTCAATCTCCTCGCCAGCCTCGCGCAGCTCGGCCAGATGCATCGCATGGGCCTGATTGTAGCGGCTGACTTTAACCTCTCGCCTGCCAAGCTCACTAAGAGCAACTTCTGCCCGAGAGCAGGAGTGCAGGCCCTCCCCCCAGACATCCCCACGCTCTACACAAAAAAACAAGAGCCTGATCGATTTCTTCCTCGTCTCCGATTGTTTCCAAGACTACGTGAATAAGCCCAAGGTCCTCAAGGAGTACCCCCTGGCCCCCCACGGGCCCGTGTACTTCGACCTCGCCATAGATGGGCCCTTCCTGGTGCCCGTCCTTGTTAAGCCCTAGAAGATCCCAACGAAGTTGCCTGTGGGACCCATAGCGCAAACAACTCCATGGATCAGAACTGAAGCGGCCCTGGACCAAATGGACGCCTTCTTGGGGAAGAAGCTAGACTACGGGGCCCTGGGCGGGGCCGTGGACCAGACCTACGAGATCCTGGCCAGTGACTTAACGAGTTTTCTGAGCAAGGTCACCGACACGCCTCTCCGCAGCCAGCGCCTACGAGGTCAAGGACCTCAGCTCCGTTGGGTTCCCGCATGTGCAGCGGAGCGAGCTCGCCGTCGCAGCTGGCGCTCTCTTGCAGGCCCTCTCCGCTGGCTGAAGAATAAGATTACTGACGCACGGCGTGCCTTAGACCAAGCATGTGATCTATAATCAGAATTTCAAGTTGTCTTGGAGGACCTAGGTTCGGCCCCAGCTTTATTCGATGAAGTTGACGAGTTAGGGGCCCTTCTCCAAACAGTTCAGGCAGCCCTACATGCGGCCCTTGTCGACATCTGTAGCGACGCCCTAAATGCCGCAACAGCGAAGGAACTGTTCGATAAGCTCTTCGACGGCATAGATGAAGCCCTCGATCGAGAATTGCACCGCGACCGTTCGACCGACGAGAAAAACTGGGCCGAATGGGTCAAGACAAGTATGCAGCGCGGAGTGGGATGGGGCCATAGATGGACCAACGATTTCAGCAGTTGGAAGCCGCAGCAAGTTTGGAAAGCCTCGATCGGAAGGTGGTCAGGGAGGCCGTATGATTTGCTCAAAGCCGAAGCCGAACGTCCCTCGGACATCTCGGAGACCACACCTAAAGAGCAGAAACATAAACATCGCAGACCTAACCCTGAAGCCCTGGCCGAACTGGAGCCCATTACTGTCGACATGATAAGAGCAGCAGCAAAGCGATTCAGCCATAACACGGCCTCCACCTACGACGGCTTTCACCCCGGGCACTTTGCGCTCTTAGGTGACACCGAGCTCGAGCTCGTGGCCCGCTTCGTGCACGCTTTCGAGGCGGTCGGCCTTCTGCCCTCTCAGGCGCGCGCGACCGTCGCCATGCTCATCCCGAAGCACAATCAGCAGGAGGGTTCAAAGGACAAGCCCAGCTACCGTGGGATAGGGTTGATGAGTTCGATCTGGAGACTCTGGGCCAAGGTAAGGCAGCCAGCAGCTCGACGATGGGAGTTTCAAAAAAGAGGCCATATCTGGCCCGCCAGGGAGGGCGAGGAATCCTTGAGACCGTTTTCCTGCAGGCCCTCGAGGCGGATTCGGCCCATTATGAAGGTGTTTCCAGGTTTACTGCTGCGGTGCTCTGGGACCTCTCAAATTATTACGAACACATCAATCGGGACACATGGTTTTCCAGAGCGGTTGGCACTGGTTTCAACCAAGCTGTGGCAGTCTTGGTCGCCAACCAGTATGGATCGCCCCGTCTTGTTGCCAACAGGTCGCATACAGTCTTCGTTGGCAGCCCGCAGTGCGGAGTACCAGCCGGCTGCAGCTTCGCCACTTGCGTTATACAGATGTACTGCATTGTGCCGCTCGATGTCTGGGTCCAGGACAACGTAGATACTAGCCCCCACATGTTTATAGATGACGTCATCTTACAGGCCCAGGATAGTGCCCCAAGACCCTGACCAAGACCCTTGCAGGAGCCTCAAAGAGTATGAAGGACACCATAGAGAAGGACCCAGATAGCAACATTGCCCTCCACAAGTCAGCAGTCCCAGCCTCCTCCTTAGAGGTTCGGGAGCCCCTGGTCAAGGCCCTCGGCTCACTGGCAGGGCCCCAGGCTTTGGAGCGAGTCGCCGCCGCCGCCAATCTCGGCATCGACTACACGGCTGGAGGTGGTGTCCACAGCGGCCGTGGCCGTGCTGTTCTGCGCCTCCGTTTCAAGAAGATGAAGCACCGCAGGCGCAGGCTCCAGGCTATAAAAAAGGCTGGGGCCGACATGCGAAAGTTGTACAAACCGGGCCTTGACCAGGCAAACAATTACGGAAGCGAAGTGGTAGGCCTGACCGACTCAGAACTCGCCCAGAGCCAGAACTTCTACCTCAGCACCGTTGGCCCCAGAAGCCCAGCGAGATCCCGAGTCCTGAGCCTGTGCCTGCTGGGGGGCCCCGCCTGGAAGGCCGCCTTGGGGCCCATCATCTACTGCAGTCTTCTGGTCTGGAGGATCTCGGCCCAACCAGGCTTGCTAAAGTACGATCACGGTGAATTGGAACAGAAGGTGAACATAATCTTGGACTACCCTCCCAACAGCTGGAGTGCCTGCCGAGGGCCCATGGGGGCCGCCCTGCTGAGCTTCAAGAGGATAGGCTGGACGCTCCTCAACCCGTTCGAGATAGAGACGAGCCAAGGCCTAGTCCTCCAGCTCACCGTGACCCCGCCAGCCCTCGTCAAGTGCCACCTGGAGGACGCCTGGAAGACGCAGCTCGGGTTTAAAGCAGCAGCCCAAATGGGGCATCCTCAGGGCCGCCTGGATTGCTCGGCCGCAAAAGCTGTTCTGGGCGACCCGAATCTCACCAAGCCCCAGAGGGGCTGCCTCCTGGCCCACCTCACCCAATGTCTCTGGACAAGGCCCCGCTTGGCTGCAGCAGGTTATGAGATCGACCAGGAATGCGAATGCGGACGCCCGACAGACGCCATGCAGCACCGTTTCAACTGCCAGCTCGTCGATGACATCAACAGTGACATTTTAGAGGCCCCCGATCTAGAAGATCTTCGAGGGTACCCCAGTGAAGCTCCACTAGCCCATGGTTTTCAATGCCTTCCCGACCCCGTGTTTATAAGGCCCTCGGGGGTCGGCTTTGCTTGTGAGTTCTGGTCCAAAAAATGGAGACCCGATAATGGAAGCCATGTCTGGCGAGGCCTTTTGTCGACGGATCCTGCTATAAGCAAGGTCCGACCGTTTGGCACCAAACGGGCTGGTCAGTAATTGTGATGGACGAAGCTGGTGAATGCAAGGCTCACCTGTCTGGACAGACAGGAGCCGCTCTGCCGCCCACATCAGGAGCAGCTGAGCATCTTGCCCTTGCCATCAGCCACATGTACCCCAACACCACCCATGTCCACTCGGACCACTTAGGAGCCATTAGGAAGTATAGCCAAGCAGGCTTTGTTAGGAAGAATATGCACTCAGGGCTGGAGCTTGTTGCCAACGGTAAACACACTGGTGGTGCCCTCCCCCAAGTTTGTAAAGTAAAAGCTCACCAGGATTTAGACAGCCTCCCAAAAGGCCCCCGAGACAAGTTTCTGGCCCTCGGGAGCGACGCTGCCGACAGGCTCGCCAAGGCGGCCGCGAAGAAGCTCGGGGGCCCCTCGGAAGCCGAAGTTGATCCATACCAGGCCGATCAGGCCTTCATAAAGCGTTTCCTGCGTTTCGTCTCACAAGCAATGCTCACCTGGCCCGCCATTGCGCCGAAGCCAGGGGGAAAAGCATACGGGAAACCACATGTTTCCAAGCCAGCTGTAAAGCCCCTTGTGGGTGCTGCCCTCATCGCCCCTGCTCCGCCTCCGCCTCCCCCTCCCCCCGTGGGTCCTGGGGCCGCTGCTGGAGCCTCCCGTGTTCCGAGAGAACCAGGGCAGTACCACAAGTGGGTCTGGCAACGAGGTAGATGGATGTGCGAGCTGTGTCGCACGCGAGCCTTAACAATTGAAGCCAAGACCCGACGCCAACACGAGAGGTGCCCAGGCACTTGCCAGAACCTCTCTCACTTTTCCCTCAACCGTAACGGCCATACTATATATATATCCATATATTCATACATATATATATATATATATATATATATATATATATATATATATATATATATATATATATATTCGACCGCCTCGAGAATGAGAGCTGTGTTATGGCCTGCTGGAATTGTGGAGTCTATTCTGAATTCATGGCCAGAGGTTTCCAGAAAGAGTGCCTCAAAGAGCCCCAATCTAATAACAAGAGAACGGCCATCCGCTGTTTCAGGTCTTGCAGACATCCCAAGGATGGTATGCAGGGCCCCATCGTCTTCGCTGCTCCCATCCCTCTTGATAGGATGATCCATGAGGCGCAACTTTCGGTGGGACTTTCAAGCAGCAGCAGCAGCG